CCCCACCCCCCCCCTAGGGGGGCGCATCCCCCCCCCCCCCCCCCCCCCCCTCGTGTTTTTTTGTTTTCGCGGCTATCTATCCTCTATTAATATGTCGGTTTGCCGAGTCTAGGATTATTTTTCGTTTTCTTTCAGATTTCTGTCTATATGCTTCTTTCACTTGCTAGGGCTATATCCGAGAACAGGTCGTGCTTTGGCTATATCCTGCTCCAAGGTGGTGACTATCCCCTTCGATTCCCTTCCAGCACTCATCCCTACCTGCTCCCAGATGCCGGCCAGTAACTTCTCCAGCCGCCGACCCGCACGACTTTCCTCTTCCAGCATCTAGCTGTCAGCCTGCTGTTCCCCCACCCCCTTCCTCTTCAAATATCCGGCCACCAACTTTCTTCCCCACCACCTTTCCCCGCATCTCTTATTCCAGCCACCACTCTCCCTGCAGCCACACTCTTCCCACGCCCTTCATCAGCCACCCAAGAGCCCCCCCAACCCTTCCCATGATTCCGGCCACAAGCCATCCAAACTTTTTAATGCTCGACTTATCCACCTCCAACCCTATCAAACACCACCCTATCAAACGCCACCGCCTACTTCCAAGCAGCCACCTCTGCCCCCGGATGCCCCTCCCCATACCTAGCAATATCTTGATGTTTGTTGTGTTTTCATTTCTGTCATCCGCCTTAACCATCCAACAAAATTTTTTCTCTTTCCTATACTCAACTACCCCTTCCAAACCCAAACTTTAATCATGCCACCATACAGATGCATGTTGAAACCTACCCGGGGCAAGATATAGAGGGAGATTTTTGGCTTCAGCAGAAGCGCGCAAAGCTTGATGATGGAACCCTGAGGGAGATTCCCCTCGTCTGTGATCTAAAAGTTGAACAGGTGATGAAGACAAGGATCTAATCCGTTCCACATAGAAGACATTAGTGACTAGGAATACATGTCACGCCGCTTTGGAATTCAATATCAGAGGAACCTTAGAGGAAAGCCTGCATATGGAGAGCACAGGGACTTGAACATTGGAATTCAATATCAGAGGAACCTTAGAGGAAAGCCCGCATATGGAGAGCACAGGGACTTGAACAAAATGGATCTACCAGAGTTTAATAGAGCAATGAATCAAGATGAATTTATTGATTGTCTGCAATTAATTGAGTGAATCTTCAAATATAAGGATGAGCCATAGAACAAGTGGATGAAATTAACAACTATCAAGTTGAAAAAGAGAGCCTCTTTGTGGTGTAAAAATCTATAGAGATTACAACGTGTGAAAAGATGAAGGAAAAAATGCAGAGGAAATATCTTCTGCCTCATTACAACAAGGACATATTTCTAAGACCACCACTTGCAATTGAAAGACCTTTTAGTAGAGTTCACAACACAATTTGATTAGTTGCTGATGAAGTGTGAGCTGGTCGAGCCAGAGAAACACACTACAACCTGATACCTGAGAGAGCCTGAAACCTGCTATAGCAATATAGTGCAGTTACATCCATACTCGTCGATGGGGGAATTCAATCTTTAGTATTGAAGGTGGAAACAACAAAAACAGAGTAAACAACAATCTTCATTCAGAAAGCAGCCTTCAGTCAGGCAGTCACCTACAGTGTCCACGACTGACAAGGCTACTGTGGGAGGAGGTGGCAAGACAAGACAAGGTCGTGACAAGATAAATCAAAGTGGAAAGAAACAAGAAAATGGTTGCCTTTCAGTAAAATTCCTGCCAAAAGGTGTTTTAGTATCTCACGAGTCGTGTTGTCACATTCACAGATCACGGCATCGTCGAGGAGGTGGACGTGGAGTCAAAGGACAGTCCAAATGAAAAACTCTAGCTTTAGGGTGACGAGTGAGAGTTGTTAATCATGTGGAGAGTTTTGCAGTTAGAGCCAGAGCAAGATCAATCATGATTGAGGCATAGTATCTTTAGCACAAGTTTGTGATGAAGACAAGGTTTGTAGGTTGATCATTGATATTGAAAGTTATGAAAATGTGGTGTCCACGCTGGTAGTTAAGAAATTAGGATTGGCCATGCAGAAACATCCTCAGTCCTATTCCCTTATCTGACTGAAGAAAGGAAGTGAGATACGCGTAGATCAACAAAGCTTGGTCGAATTTTCAATTGGGGATCAGTAGCAGGAGCAAGTGTGATGTCACAAAATTCCGATGAATGCATGCCTATTCAGTTTGGGAGGCCTTAACAGTTCGACCGCAAGACCAAGCAGGATGGCTTCAAGATAACTTACTATTTAAAAAAAAAATCGAAAAAAACATCGAGTTGTTACCTGTTAAGAATGCGGGAGGTGTAGGAGACAGAGGAGGCATTACTTCAGAGGGTCACCTTCATACAGTTAGTTTGTGATGCTCCAGTGGCACTGACATTAGTCATACTAGAGAGAACTGAAGAGGAGAGTGAGCTACC